GTAGGTATAAATCAAACAATAATAATTTTACAAACGTCCTTAGTTATACTTATTATGTTGAGACATCTAATACAGTATATTCAGACGAGTATTCTTTATCTAAATGATGAAGGATACTCAAACCATTTGCGTTATTTTTATTTAGCGCATCGATACTAGTAAATATGACTCACATGATATTAATTTCACAAGAGCTACCATCTTTACATTTCTTGAAGGGTTATATGTCAATATATGCTAAAGAGGAATATGTGCCTATATTGTGGAAGATGCTTGTATCTTCTATCATTTTTTACTTTATGAAATCATACTAGTATGTATAAATCACAATATGTACTTAATAAAAAAGAGGAAAATACTGATACATCTTATATCGTTTTGTTGCCTATTTTTCAATTGCTAAGCTGCTCCATTACACAGATTTGCTCGGACTTACCTGAGAAATATTATTTCATATTTACCTTGCGGTTTGCTATTTACCAAATATACCAATCCAGACTAGACTTCCGAATAAATTCGGATGTTATGAGTTCCCTGTTTGCCCCTAAATGATTGAGTCATTATCCATTTTAATTAAGTTTGTTCTTCTTAATTTAAGCCTGAGGCGCTGACTGATTTCCACCTGGTCTGGCTGGCTCCAAACGGAACAGAACTATTGCCGGTTGGCGAGCCGTTACTGGATTTCCAAACCGGTGAAGTGAATGTCCGCCTTCCAATCAACACGACTCAGCTTCGCGAGAAAGGTCACAGCATTACCGGATTCCTGGTCGGTAAAAGCCCGTACGATCAGCCACTTTGGTATGCTCTTGGATCACCACAAATGCCCAGAAGTCTGGCGCCAAGTGAGTAACAGGACATTGCCGTCTTAGTATAGGGCTTCTACATGTAGATCGAAGCATGCCTTGAGGTTGATTGTTAAATTTTATGGCCCATATTTGCAGAGATCGTCAATTTTAAGGTGGCTCTTTCTCCGTAATATATGCGAATAAAAGTTGGATTTCGCGGAATCTCTTGTTTCATAATTATTGAGCTTATTTCCATTTCGAGTGAAATTTTTGGGTGAAGAGATTCGAAGGTCGGTTCCACCAGAAGACGACGGCGGATTCTTCTTTACCAGCTGTCGATTGGTTTTACTGGAAGATTTAAGCTGACGCTGTTTCCGTGGTAATCTCCTTTGATTCCGGTGAAAAGGTGCTAAGTTTTCGTCCGTCATATGACAAACATGATCAGAGCAAGGTATCATCGTCACAACAAAATTCAAGCTACCGAGTTTTCTTGACTCGTTACGGTTTCGCTACTCACAAAAACCTATTTTTTACTTATTTTTTTCGCAAATATTCTCCTCAGCCTTGCAAAGGCATAGTGAGGCACAAAACTAGCGTTATTTCTGGTTAATTTTCGTAATTTGCCACCACTAATGGAAGCCTTCTAAGCAAACACCTGGTGAGTAGTAATGATTAGTATCCCTTCTTCCATCAATATAAATCTGGGAGTATTCTCAGCTATTTCCATTAGAGTGCAATTAACGCCAATGATAAGGATGAACCATGGCTCCGTCTCCGACACGCAACTCAAGAAAATAATTATTGCTAATTGCATTTTCTCTCACTCTCTCTTTTATATTTTATTACTTCTCAATCTTGTCAAAAAACAATAGATGTTGACTTTGTAAGTAGTGCTGATATATAAGCGTGTCAAAATGGTATTCCTTGTTAAAATATTTGTGGAATTCATAGTTTGCACATTCTCATAACTCCATGGTAAAATTTATTTGCTCTCACAGTGAAGTATGTCATGCTCTATAGTTATGAATCTCTTCCGAGAGTTGAATAAGGAATTCAATAAGAGGGCTCCATTTACTAAAACAAATGACTACTAGTCAGGACGAAAGAAGCCAAATCAGAACCAACCTTATACTTCTTTTTATAATATATCTAAATATGAGTGCGAAATTTATGGATAATGTTCACTGTAGAATTTTTCCATTTGCTCATCCCATATCTACAATAGTTAATCCAAAAGAATTTTGAGCCTTCAATGAAATAGCTGTTTATACTGTGCTAATCAGTTTTGCTGCACTGCTAGTGTTAAAACTATCAACAGCAAATAAGTACACTTTCGTAATTAACCTCTTGTACATTTTCAAGCAAGAAAAGCTTTTTATAAATTTCTGCCTGTTTGTGCAACGCATGTAATGCATATTTGGCGAGCGAAGAAGCTCCTACTGACATAATAATATATTGAATATTCATTTTGTGCCAAAATTTGCATTCATCAACATAACCAGACATGTGTCCGACATTGCGCAAGCGGAGTGATGGTTATAGCATGTATGTAGAAAGGGGGAGATAGGGGTTATCAAACCTTGATGGCCAAAAACAGACGTTACTTTTGCTGTCCTAATTACTGTGAGCCATCACTGAGGCTTTCGTGCGTAATCGAACACAAACAGGCAAATACACATACAGAGACATACCCGCTCACAGGCTTTGAAGTTGACATATGAGCGTAACTAACCAAATTACTTTATATCTGGTCAGAGGCCAAATGTAGAGTATATATACCGCTTTTTAGGGATTTGCCGGTCAGTTTTCTTGACTCGTTAGCTTGAATTTGGTTGGGACGATGATACCTTGCTCTGATAATGTTCATCATATTATGGACGTAAGCTTAGCATCTTTTCACCGTAATCAAAGGAGATTATCTCGGAAACAGCGTCAGCATGAATGTTCCACTAAAGCTAATCGACAGCTGGTCAGGAGGAATCCGTCGTCTTCTGGTGGAATGGACCTTCGAATCTCTTCACCAAACACTTTCACTCAAACTGGAATTGAGCTCATCAATGCAACATTTATCCTCGATCATCAAGTTTAAACGAACCGCCTTCCCCTCTTTTTTATATTTTAGCCATCATCCCGAATGCATAATATTGGACATACCTCTAAGTCTCTTCATTACACACTTGCACTCGAAGACTGGCATTTATTTATAAAGCATTTTTACTCATCGAAAATGATTGCTAATAAAGCTAGGGCTTTCGATAAGGCTTCGACAAGTTTGCTAAAATTTTTTACTAGCTACTTAGATTAAGGTTCTTCTTCAGGCTAGTCTTTAAACTTTATTGTTTAAATTCTACTGCTCTAAAATAAGCTCGAACTAGTTACTACCGTGATTGCGGTGCCCAAAGTAAATTTCTAGCATTGTGTACTTGTAAGAAACAGAAAAGACATTACAGTATTTTAGTGAATAAATGTCACTAAAATATACGCTCGACTACTCACGGTAATGTAAAGTTTACCAGTTTGACTGTAGAAGGAAAATTAAGTAACCAAGACTCTCGTACAGAAACTGGTGAGGCACCAATGAAAACTAAGGGTACTGGGGAAATCTCAAGTCGGTCTTCAATTCTGGGGGCTCTCTTCCAAAAATATCCCTGCACAATCTGAATATCATATTCTGGTCGGTTCAAAAGATAGGATCGATGCGGTGGCCTGCATTTGATTGGTCGGCACAAATCAAACTTGAGGAATAGTCGTGTTCTCGAATATTCCGGAATTGCGTACGTGAGTTTATCAAACTATTAGTTATAGTAAAAAAAGAGAAAAGTTAGATTACAATGTCATATATATATATATATATATATATGAAATTAGTGTAATCTACATTTGCTCCTTTTTATAACCACTTCGAGAGAATTCGTGAAGTGATGGGAAATGTAGGGCTATGTGAAGATGTACTAGGCTACCTCAAAAATGCATATTAAGTTTTTTGACTGTACCGCTGTGACAGACATCGCCAGAGCAATAAACCAAACTACTTACAAAATAGTGCTTGAATATGTTAGATCTGTCAGATTGTTATATTAATGAGCTGTTCCGCGAAGTATGCTTTCTTGCTGTGAA